CTTTTTCATGCTATTTCGATATTGGTACAACCTTATGTGGAGATATATATGATATCATCAGATAATGCCACTAGGGATTTCTGGGAAGTAAACAGGGCAACTAGATGCTACGACAAAGGTAAACAACTTCAGTAAGATAGAAAACTACTTACTTGAACCAGGACTTCAGCTGAAGTACTTTTCAATTGCCTTCCAATAGCATGCAAGAGAAGACCATCTTCACCGAAAACGTACTCGATGGAATTCAAAGGACCGTCCACAAGATTACGAACTAAAGCCAAAGCTTGCTCTTGGACAGGAGCCTCAGGGTCTGCCATCATCAATAAATAGAAGATGGGAATAAGTATCTCCCTAAAAAAAAAAAATCTCGGTTTAATAACAAAAAATTACCCCGAGATATATATTATTCACACACATACTGAAGGGGAAAAACACTTTCTGTCTTCTCTTGAGGCAAGTTGAACCTCAAGGGTTTATTTATTACTATAACTAGTTTATTATTACAAAATAATAAGTGACAACTACCGCTGATGAGGCTTGTTAATGTGGACGTTGATAACTCCAAGAGAATTTCTTCTTTACATCTGCTGTTTACATGGAACACAAGATTCTTCAAAGCCAATACAGCATTGACTCTAACAGCAGATTCCATGGACCTTGAAAGCTGAACCAGCTGTTTCAAACCCCCACATTGCATGAACAGAGATTTACGTTGCGTGAAATCAACCACCACATTACCAATAGCCCGCAAAGCAGCAATCTGTAAAGAGTACAATTTTAGGGATACACACTATTTTGATAAGAGTAATGTGAGCTTGGGGGTCTTTCAATTCAAGCTTCTTCAGCTACCTTCCTACCAGACCAACAACTTAAAGAAGTAACTTGACAGGTGTTTGGTAACATGGAAGAAGTCCTCAATTCATTAGTCCAATAGTTATCAGATGTGAAAATGTGTGATAAATTCTATGAAGGCCATAAATTGGTTCTAATTGGCTCAATATTGTGCTAAGACTTACAAAGATACTAGTGAGGAAATTGGATGGTTCAAAGAACCAATAGTTCTAAATCTGCTTCTACAGAATCCAACTTTCACAATTCCTATCAACTCACATAGCTATTGTTTGTTTTTCCAAATAGTCTTTTGACGGTTAGTTACAAAAACGTCTCCTGGGTTATAGCCTTAGTGCTAACAGTAAATAACAACAGAGGGAAAGGAGGAGCAGCTCTGATAGAGTTAAGGGTGAAAGCAAACGAAAATTATAGATAATCGATATTATTAATTAAGGAAATAACTTAAAAACAACTCCAGACGAATCGTGCTCAGCCTAAGGCCGATACTTTGGGAAGAAACTTCATGCACAAACTTAAAGCCGACAATCCTATTCAATAAAATATAACCCTAGTGTTAACTGATAGTCTACTTAAATAGAGTCCAACCCCTAAATATAATCCTAAATGGATATTCTAAGCAAGTTGGCCCAGAAGCCCAATAACTGAAATAAATTATGAAATAACAATCTATCTCTAACAAGCTCAATTGTCTAAGTCTCACATATACAAAAGATATAAGCTATTTTGTTTCGCATACAAACTGCACCCTCAATAGAAAGGTATTTCATGGGCATTTAATTAGGTATGTGAAACAAGTTTAAGTTAGGACTCGTAATACTGGAAGATAGTGGCAGTTTCTTATAATTAGGATAAGCTAGAGGGTAGTGAGTATAAAATATGTTAAAAATTCTGAAGTTACTCATCTGGGCAATAAGATGGTGCAGTACATGCATGGCAATGTAACATTGCGGTTTCACTATGACTAATTCATCGGTGTTGGTTCAATCAGTGCTATTATAAACAACTCATCCCATGGTAGTCCACATCTTACAGTTTCTTATCTGATCATAATTCATAACAAAGCATGGAGTTCACTGAATAGTGTGATAATATGCAGGGAAGAAAAAAATAAATGAATAACAAACCAATGTTGTCCATCATGAACTTCCTGACCTTCCTAGGGCAAAAATTAGTGTGTATATTAGGAGTCCCTACTCAGCAGAAGAGATATATACCTGGACAAAACTGGAAGAATCATTTAACAGCTGAACCAAAGGGATGGTGACCGTTTCATTCATAAAATGACCTGCACTCAAATTCTGAAGACTATTTTCATTAGAAATCACCATATAGGCAAGAAACAGAATAAAAAACGATTTGATCCTTACAAACCTTGACAGAACGAGAAACATTCTTCAAGAAAATACACGCAGCAGAACGAACATCGGCACTATCATGAGCTAATGCTTCTGTGACATAGTTTAAGACCTACATAGAAAGTAGATATAATGGTGAAAACAAAACAAAACTAGAAATGCTGGTGAGCATCATAAGATTTAAGGTATATTTCTGCAAAATATGCAATTTATTCAAGTGTTAACTCAATGAGTTAGCAACTGAAAAGAGATTGGACATAAGTTGTGAAGGTGATATTCCATGCACAAATCGGCTCTCTGCAAAGTAATGTTTACATGTATAATACTTTCTAACCATCAGCATTGACAAATATCTTAAGACGAGAACAAAAATCCCAGGCTTGTATGTGAAAAATCAAACCCTTCACATAGGTACTGAAAAAAATAGGCCAAAAATTGTATCCAGTTGCAAGAAAAGGGAAGGATCACAAGAAGAACCGTGGTTAAGGGATGAACATTAGGATAAAAGAAAGAAGTCTTAGTGTCTTACTAGGTTAAACAATAGACTGCAACATGTCTATAACAATTCATTATTGATGATTGACACATCAAATCAGAATTAGATGGAGAGAAATCTTATTTCTTCCTTCCATTACAATATATTAACGCAAATAGCAGGAATTGACAATTTTCATCAATCAACCAACCTTCAAATGAAGAACCCTCTCTCTGCAGCATTCCAACCCCGAGCAAAGATCAGCCAATGCCAAAAATACCCCTTGCAAACGTTTGGCCTGTAACGGACATTTTTTTAAATTCTCGCACAGTTTCTCCACCACATTGGCTTCAAATGCTTGATTCTGCATATCCTCCTTTTCGGCTATCAAATTACACATCACAAAAGGAGTTTCATCGCCAACTTGACTGGGATCGTCGAGAAGCTCAAGCAATACCAGGATCAATGTGTTCTTGATTCCCGAGTCTTGATGATAAGATACAGAAGTATTTCTTATGTTGATCAAACATGTACAGGCCAATAATCTAGTCCGAGAATTCTTGTCAGTCATAAGATCAATCAACACATTTAGTTCCCTTCCGTTTTCAGGCAATATGAATCTTGAAGCAACTTCAGGATTGTCCTTGATGACCGCAGCCAGAGACTCTAAGCTAGCATCCCTCTGAACTAGAGAACCTCCAAGAAGATAAACGAGCCTCTTTATAACTCCAGCTTCACTCAGTACCTGCTGCTCCATATTTGTTTGGCACGAATGCGTGATAATACTCGCACCAAGGCCCGTAACATTCTCATTCTCGCTGTTGAGCAGCGAAAGGAGAAATTCTATGTTTTTCTCTTGGTGAAAATCATACCTGGGAGTGAGTCTTGACTGATAAATCATTTTTAGAGCACGTGCACTGGCATCAGCAACCTGCAGCAGATGTTCCAAGTGGTATCGAGTTTTTGGTAAATTTTGCATGTGGACACGAGGAACGATCATTAGAATAAAAAACGTTCAGATGAACATGATATTGAATTCCCACATCATACTAATGTTAGCTTAACAATGTTCACCTTTCACTTTAAATTGAACCAATTTCCTGTGGCAAGCTTTACTAACGCTTTACAACAACAACAACAACAACAACATTGCCTTTTAGTCCCAAGCAAGTTGGGGTAGGCTAGAGATGAAACCCAAGAGAACCAATGGTAAGTACTAACGCTTTTACTAAAATTTTAATTTTCCAAGTGTTTCCAACTTCAGATTTTTCATTACCATGGTTTACAACAAAAGGTACATGCACACATAAATCAATAAGTTTGAAAAAGAAGCAACCACCACAAAGTTGCAATAATAACATGTCAACTAAGTACAGCTATAAGAAGAAAAACCTAGTACAGCCATCATATATCCTAGTATAAGGAAAATTGAATGGGAGTAGTTCATTAAAGAAACAGAAGATCATGAAAGCTAATGCTCTACTTAGTTGCAAAAAAAATCACATGACAAACCAGAGGCTCCATGCCTAAGTCTAGAATTTCAATTATGCACTTCCGATCATCAGAAGGGACAAATAAAATAGGTCAACTACCTAAAACTAACTACTAATTAACTCAATTGAGTATCAGACCAAACTTATTTCATTGCTGTTAAAACAAACGTGTCAAAGACCATACACCACCAGAACTATCTTTTTTTATCTTAAAGAAGCAATTATAACTGAACAATCCCCATTTCTTTCGCAAAGGATAACGCGAGAAAGTATACCTTCTCATTCCGATGGAAAATAAGCTTCAGCAGAATAGGAAAAGCACCGGCGTCGAGCACGGCCTTAACTCCAGCATCTAATCCACACGAAAAGCTCCCAATAGCGGCGGCGGACTGAACCAATACGGACTCATGGTACTCGAGATTACCACCCTCGCTGACCTGGGCGACGGCGGCAGCAGAGGAGGAGAGAACAGCGACGACGGAGGGCACCGCGCCGAGCTTCAGAAAGGCCAGCTTTTTTGTACGATTTCCTATAATTTGGTTCTTCAAGTCCCTCAACGCTTTCAGCTTAGCCTCGCACGGCGCGGCAGTGGAGTTCAGCCGACCGATCAAATCCTCCGGACGGCTGGAATGATTGGATGGGATGGAAGACGGCATCGCTGCAGGTGGAGATCAATTTTACTGTCGGAAGTTTCAATTCCGGCGAGGCCAGCGGAGCCTGGGCAAGGATGAACCGCCGCACGGTGGTGGCGGAGCTGGGAGCGGGCGGTGCTGGGGGTACTTTTCAGATGACGATTAATGATTATTTTTGTTTTCCATTTGTATTTTTTTTGTGATATAGCAATCAATTCTATAAAATTATTTTTCTTTTCCTTTTTTTGGTTACAATGATTATTTTTCCTTTTTTAACTTTATTAAAAAATTTAAATATTCCCAATCAATGGAAGCATACCTAATAAATTTGAAATATAATTTTAGCAATTGTTTCAGTTACAATTTTAAGCAATGTTTTAAGTACCGTACTGTACCGGTCGATATTACCAGTAATATGGAATACTGGTGGTCCAGATATAGTTACCCTCAAATACCATTTTGCCAAAATATTGGTTTATACTGAAAAATACCAGCTTAAATACCAGTTAAAATACCGGATATACCAAAATTAAAAAAATATATATTTTTATAAGATGTTTTCATTAATTTATTTAGTTTTATATATTAAAGTTAGTTTCATATATCGTTTATATAATAATAATAATATATTAATTTAATATTTATTAAAACTGCTTAAACAGATGGTTGAACCGGTTGAACTGCATACCGGTGGCTCGTCCGACATGATTACCAGACGGCATTTAATTACTGATTTTAAGCTAATTTAAGCTAAACCATAGCAGAATTACTAATTTAAGATATAAATTGCTATTACTAGCAAGTTAACCTAAACAAATTTTGAATGTTTTGTAATTTTTCAATGTTTACACCTTCAAAATTCATACACAATTGTTATAGTAGTAAATTTAATATTGTTTTATGTAATTAATTGGTCATAATCAGTCAAGATTACAAAAATTAAATTATTGCAATCAATATAAAAATTCATATATATTAAATAGTTATTCATATCGTTCACTTTTACTAATGATAAAATTTATAAAATGTGATAGGCTTATTATCTAACTTATGATTTTAAATATTACGTAGACACATATAGCCCATAAAATTTTATTTATATATATGCATGTGCACATGTACTTGTATAATGAATTGTGCCTCTATTTTACTTTCTGTATGTATGTGGGAAGAAAAGAAAGCTTGAAAATTCAAAAAATGTGTTGTGGCGCACTTTTGAGTTATTGTTGAATCTAGTTGAAACCGAAAAATCAAGCTTCACTCTGGTTTTTTAGGGTTGAAAAAAACTTGTTCGATTGATTCAATTTATTTTCAATACTATGTTGAATATAATTTTTCACGAGTTTTGATATTTGGTTTCAACTGTTTTGATGCAATTTTGCACCAAATTGTACCAAATAAATATAAATGTACAGACTGAGACAAAAATTGGGTTGAACCGTGAATTTCGGTGTTCTTCAATTTGATTATTTTAATATTAAAAAAATCTAATTCGATCGCTTTTTTTTTTTTTTTGCGGTTAT